TCTGAAGCAAAGAGCATACTTCCTGCGGACACTTTTTTGGCTGAGTGGCCCATCTTGTTATTTACTATCTTTGCTTTGATCTAGCCAATGATATCGATACCTGCCCATCACTAACTGCAGTAACTGCAGTCTTCGGCCGCGCGCGCCAAATGTAAATTTCGCGTCCAAACTCCTATCGCAAACCCAAATTCATAATATAAATTCTAGACTAGGCATGCTAATCTAGCTTAGCCTACCTCTAGGCTAGAATCAACGTCACCCAGCAGTCCAAGATCAGACTTATCAGAGCCAGCTGTCATCTTCGTTAGGCCTAGGCCTACCTCGATTTTCAGTTTGACCTGTCGGTTGAAGACCTCGACTCGTCACTCGTCAGTAACCAAGCCCAAGTGCCAGGTGAGATCTGGACTCATAATTATAATCAGAAGATCTCTAGAGGATCTAGAATCTAGATTAGATCTAATTCTAGTGTACTGCTCTGTATGACGATAAATGATAATGATGGGTAAATTTTTACTTTCACTCCCGCACACAGAAGCACTGCTTCGGCTTCGGGGGTCAAACTGCAGTGATGTTTGCTGCAGGTCACACATTAAGTATAAAGCCACTAGATCTAGATCTAGATCTAGATCTGGGATACCCTAGATCTAAAACTGTCGCAAATCAATTATTTTCTGGAAAATTTCAAATCTAACTGTAAAGGTAGAGTCAATTGCCACCGAGTGACGCGGTGGCAATTGACAAAAATTGACTTTTTGTCAATTTGCACCGAGTGAAGCGGTGTCAAGTCTGAAAACAACACTATCTTTAGCATTAATATACATAATGTGTGTCTAATGGGTCAATTTGTTCTCAACTAATTTCATTAGACGAGCATCTAGTCTAGAGCTACGGTACCAACTTGGCTTGTTTTCAATGAGACGTAGGCCTAGATCTAGGCTAGCCTTAGCCTACACTTTGGTGTAGAACCAACACAGGCAATTCTAGAAGTAGAAGGTTACAAACGCACACAAACTCAAGGAGAAATTCACGTTATATCGGGGAACATAAATCGGGGGGCGGGGGTCAGGAAAAACACACAAACACACACAGAGGGACAGAGAGGCGAACGCACAACACCGAGCACAATAAGCTAGATCTACCCACCAACGCAAAAGAGCTCCAAATTGCCACTGCGTCACTCGGTGGCAATTGACACTACCAACTGTAAAATATCAAATTATGGGTTAAAACAGGCCCCTGTAACCCCCCAGATTTTCTTTTACCTCAGGAGGGCAGGCCCTCCTGGAACCCCCCGATTGGTCCAAAGCATGTCTATCTCGTAAGAACAATCAAATATTTGAAACGAAGTGTATACAGACCCGGTAACTGGGAACAAAGTCACGAAGTATACAGACCCGGTAGGGGAACTCTTTTGTGATTTCGGAAAGTTTCAGCGCCCAGACCCGGTTGTGTGTGTGTGTATATGTGAGTGTGTGTGTGTGTGTGTGAGAGAGAGAGAGAGAGAGAGGTGCTTGCAAAATGTATGTATGACGTGCCCCAGTTGGCAGGAGGGAACGAGAGATCATCAAAGACAGCACGGGAAATAGGTGGAGAGAAAGAAAGACATAGACAAACAAAGAAAAAGAGAAAGCGAGCAATACAGAGAGAGAGAGGGGGGGGGAGGGAGGGAGGGAGAGAGAGAGAAATAGAGAGGGTGACTGCTCGATTGAAATTAAATGACATTGTTCTTTTCTTCAAATTGTGATTCCTTCAACTCCAAAATGTGGAGAAAAACGATCGTTCACCGAAAAGACATCCGCAATCTTCATTTAGATCTAGAATCTAGATCTAGACTAACCTTGAAACTAGACCAAGGATTTATGTCTGTCTAGATCTAGACCAAGGCCATCGATCTAGCAGAAGAACCTAGATTCTAGGTCTACCCTGAGCCACAGAATTCTACACTAACTTGTGTAGAATTCTGTGCCCTGAGCCAAGAGGGCGCTGAAACTTACCGAAATCACAAAAGAGTTCCCCTACCGGCTCTGTATACTTTGTGACTTTGTTCCCGGTTACCGGGTCTGTATACATTCCCTATTTGAAAAACTATTGATTTGCGACGGAAATGAAGTTGATATTCGTGTTCAGCGCATCAATATTTAGATCTAGACTAGATCTAGAAGTAGGAAATGGACAACTGGCAGCTAAGTGTGAGACGGGAGGGAAAATAAAAAAATACCCAATGATGAAATTATTTATAGATCTAGATTGTAAATCTTGTATTTTTTATGTTTTCTTTTTCCACTCTGTTAGACTATTAGATTGCTTTTATCAATATACAGAAGGGAAACAATAAATCCTGGATTGTTGGTCCTTATATTAACATGTTGAATTATGTCCCTGTAATTGTAGGCCCTACTTTTATTTATACCCTCACAACAAAGATTGTCTGATCTTAGTGATCTTTACTCACTCCTCCTTCCTGTTTCAATCACATGTACTCATGCTCATTATGATTTATTTAGTCTTGTCAGTGAAGCCAGAGAGGGCAGACCTCATATTATTTTCATCATTAAAGTACCCTTCTTCATTTAGAAACGGAGTTCTTACTTTTGCTTTATTATATACAATAATGGCAAACAACCCCAGTGCAACACACTCCACTTCAGACTTGGGATATCTAGATGGTCTAGATCTAGTCTTAAACGTTACAGGACAAAAGATATAAAAGGAGTAATCAGAAAAAGGACGATTTGTTTCTTACAAGTAATTATATAATGCACGCCTACTGAGAACTAAAACATGTATTATAATACTAGATCTAATACATATATTTGATGTTTAGATGTTATCTGTCGTGTTTTTAGAAGAAAAAGACATCAACTTATTGACTCATTGAGCATAAATATTAATGAGACTTAAACTTAAGATTTTCGGGACAAAAATCGTGTGGCAGTTACAAAGTGAAACATGAAATCCAAACTGAACTGAAATGAATTTTCCCAATAGTGAAAGCAGTAACAGCAGCAGTAGTAGTAGTAGCAGCAGCAACTGCAGCATATATATCAAAAAATGTATTCACATCTCCTTCATTATCGCTACTACATGTGTAACATGGTCAAAATATATCGTTAATGGTGGCAGCAAAAACTGTGTTCTATCTTTCTGTGATTTCTTGTGACATTATGATAATGTTCACTTCCCAAAATGTTTTTACGGTATGGTGATCATATTGAAGATCATTTGGGACCACAACAATTTTAAAAAAAATTATGCAGCATCCCATTTAGCACACTGTTGATGAATAGTTCCTTGTCTGTAGCTCGAACAGGAAGATTGAAGTTGAAGCAAATTTATCACAGTATGGACCTCTACTTCCCTAACAAACAGCTCTTTATGATTTCAAGAACACGTAATATTGCCATTGAGCATGAAACAAGTGTATGGAATGTTTACTAGCTGCTTTTCGAAGTCCAACTGCACTCAGCAAGGATGAGGAATGTCAATACAGTCAAACCTGTGTAAGACGGCCACCCATTGTCAAGGAGAAAAGTGGCCGTATAAGACAGGTGGCCGTCTTAGGCAGGACTGATCAAGATGAAGAAAACAAACCATTCCCCCCATCTGAAGTCCTAATCGAAAGTAGCCGCATTGTTGTTTGTTGTTGTTGGTTTGTATTTTGTTTGTTATTTTGTTACTGATTTTGCGCAAGAGTGACAATAAAACGAAATGTATCAGACGAGAAGACCAAGTGCCATGTTAAAACAAACACTTGGGTCGCCACCACTCGGAGAACGAGTGACGCTTCTGTCGCAAGTTAATGTTGACGTCCATTATTACTTTGATACAGACTGGGTAAACAGTGATTTTTTTGATTTTTTTCCAAAAAATATAAAAAATCGATTTTTTAAATTTAAATCATGATTTTTTAAAATTTAAATCAGATTTTTTTTATTTTTTAAAAAATGTCGACACAGTTTGGGATTTTTGGTTGCTAAAAGTATGTTCTTTTAGTGCAAAATGCATTGTCTTAATTTAACTAATGATTAAATTAAGCAACCTCAAAAGAAAGCCTTAATCTGCTATATAATATCAGTGAATTATGGCTACAGACAAAAAATGAAGAAAATATCAGTCTAAAAGGAAGGGGTGGGGGGGGGGGGGGTAATTATGCATAGAGATAAACTTGCATTTCATTACAGTGTGTGTGTGTGTGTGCACGCGCTTGTGTTTGTCTAAAAAGAAAAAGAAAATGTTAATTTCAATAATGAAAAAAAGTAAATTGAATGCTGTATTATTTTACAGTGACAGGGGGGAAAGCAGACTTTTTAAGCATGATTTTATTAGTCTACTAAACCTTATATACTGTTTTATAAAACCAAGGAAAGGAATTCTGAATATTTAAAGATGTAAAAACAGAATACATTTGTTAAAAAGTGATTTAAATCACTGATTTTTATTTTTAAAATCAAGTTGATTGAAATATAAAAAAAATCAACTGATTTAAATCAACCCAGCTCTGATTTCAATTTTATGGAAAAAAAAGTAAATTGAATACTGTATTATTTTACAGTGAAAGGTGGGAAAGCAGACTTTTAAACATGAATTATATTAGTCTACTTAACCTTATATCTGAGTTTTATTTTTTAAATAACGTTGATTAAAAAATTTTAAAAATCAACTGATTTAAATTGACCTGATTTAAATCAACCCAACCCTGATTTCAATTATGAAAAAAAAGTCAATTGAATACACTGTATTATTTTACAGTGACAGGGGGAAAGCAGACTTTTAAGCATGATTATATTAGTCTACTAAACCTTATATGTTTAATAAAACCAAGGAAAGGAATTCTGAATGTTCAAATATGTAAAAACTGAATTACATTTGTTAAAAAGTGATTTAAATCACTGATTTTTATTTTTAAAATCAAGTTGATTGAAATATAAAAAAAATCAACTGATTTAAATCAACCCAGCTCTGATTTCAATTTTATGGAAAAAAAAGTAAATTGAATACTGTATTATTTTACAGTGAAAGGTGGGAAAGCAGACTTTTAAACATGAATTATATTAGTCTACTTAACCTTATATCTGTTTTATGAAACCAAGGAAGGGAATTCTGAATGTTGAAATATGTAAAAACTGAATAAAAATAAATTTTTTTAAAAGTGATTTAAATCACTGATTTTTATCAAAAAAATCAAGTTGATTTAAATTTTAAAAATCAACTGATTTAAATCAACCCAACCCTGAACAGTGACCACTCATCTCACGTACGATTTGTGTATGAGTTGTGGGCGGGGCTTATGGGTTATGAGGGATCACATGCTTACCTCACCAGCAGCTGAAAATTGGTACCTATTGGTCAACAGTGGGAGGGGCCTACGCAACATGATTGGTTGGAGGGACTAC